GAGGAGAGAGAAACAAAGAGGGTCCAGCTCATGAAGGCTTTGGAGTTGTTACTAAGTTTAGTGGAAATTTATTGGAATTATTTGGGCATTGGCTAAGTGAAAACAATTCTGTAATTTGACACTGCTGCACTGAGAGGACTGGCAGAGGAATGGAGTAGAAGTAGGGGAGCTGATAGGATGTTATGGTTATAGTCCGATGAGCAGCAGTGGTGGCTGGTGGCTGTGGGGATGAAAAAAAGTATACATGGAAGACATATTTTGGTGGAAAAATTTATAAGACTCGGGGATAGATTGAATGTGGACAACTCCCAGGTGTTTGGCTGGGTACTATTCACTGAGATGGGGAAGCCTGGAGAAAAAAACGTTTCGGGGGGAAAAAATAAAAAAAAATAGGATGTGAGACATCAAAGTGGATATGTCAAACGGGCAGCTCAGAAGAGAGGCTAGAGCCAGAGATAGGAACTTTGGATTGAGCACAAATATGAGATTTACAACATGGGAGCAGATGCTGCTGGTAGGGCGCGTGAATAGGCTAAGAAGAGAGGAAGCCCCAGGACAGTTCTGAATTTGAGTTCCGATAGTAAAGGGGGACACCTCAAAGAAAACTGAAGCAAAGCAGAAAGTCCATGAAAAGAACAGGAGAAGGTTGAGTACCAGAACTAAGAAAAGAAAATTCCAAAAGAGGAAAGAATGTCCAACTGTGAAGTGCTGTTAAAAAGTCAGATAATATAGGGACCGTCAAATCTCTATGAGATTTGGCAGCATGGAGATCACTAGTAATTTAGTAATATATTTCCTAGTATCTTAACCACATACGTAGATGGAACTGAATTTCTAGATATCCTCCTCTTTATTGTTCTCACCTTTTGTTCCAGGACTAACTTCATTTTCGGTTCCTCTTCACTTTACCGAGTTACTTTCCTATCCATCTATTCTCCCCACTTTGGCCCAATAGAAAAGTATGACACAGTGAGGAGGGGAGGTGGGGAAAAGAAAACAGGACAAAAATTAACACAACATGGTATTTAATTTTGTGCATTCTTCACAGAATTGCTTTTCCTCCTTGTATTTGCCTAAGTATTTCATTTACTTAGAAAAACAGGTATATTTTAATTTAAAATATTATCTGTTTCATCAAGCTCACATAAATGTAATTCTGTGTTGTCTACTCCTGATGTGATTAAATTATAAATAGAGATTTCTTTGCAACTTAATTTGCTATAATCCTTAGCATAAAATGAAGATGTCCTTAATGTGGAATGCAAATACTATGATATGGCTTATGTCATGATGACTTGAAACTTTTCATCCTCTTTCACTATTTTTTTTAAAAACATTCATATAAGAAAAGCCTTGGCATTAAATGCTGAGAAATAGTTGCTTAGGTGGCCAGAAATTGACTGGGTTTGATGGCCTTCATGATATAAAAACATCAACTGTTTTAAAAATAGTATTGTCTAAGACTGAAGATTTCTTTAAAGTGAAAAACATATTTTGAAATAAAGGAAAAGAATGTCAGTGATATTTTAATGGCAATTTTTGAAAGTAGTCAAAAGACACTCCAGTATATATCGTCATGGATTTATGACTAATGACTAAAATAATTTAGAATTCTGCTTAGCACTAATCAAAATCCAGTTAAAAGACTGCTTTGGTACTTTTGAAGCACATAAGATCTCTGGAAATGCATTACTGAATATTATTTGTACCTTTAATGCTTCATCAACATTTAGGAGTACAAGCTTTTATTGTCAGTGTTTTAAAAGTCAGCTATATAAAGTTGATAGAGTATACGTATTAAATATATCCATTAGTCATTTTCAGGAAGTGGAATATGTACACACATCTGAATATTTGCTTAAATATAAAACAAGAGTAAGATGTTTAAGCTTCGATGTAGAATAAAATACTGATATTTGGGTTTTAGGTTAAAAAATATTAGTTGTGATTTTTGTTCCCTTTTTTCCCCCATGCCTTTGATTCCTTCCTTCTGAAGACAGACAAAATCCTGACTTAGGCAGTATTTTTTAAAATACCAAGGGCCTCGGAAACCTAGGGTTTGATAAGTAATAGGAACCGGTCGAATGCTGAGTCTCCATTGACCACATTATCATTCTCCAGCTTGTTGTTCTTTTCAGTGGTGAGGTAAGAATATAACTCCTACTTAATGTTCCTGTTCCTTAGGTGAAATGCTAACATCTTTTGTTCAAAAGTTAGATGCTGGGGTTGCTGCTGTTGTTGTTTTCTTCTTTTCTTTCTCTACTTTTTTTTTTTTTTTTTTTTTTTTTTTGAGACGGAGTCTCGCTCTGCCGCCCAGGCTGGAGTGCAGTGGCGCGATCTCGGCTCACTACAAGCTCCGCCTCCCGGGTTTACGCCATTCTCCTGCTTCAGCCTCCCGAGTAGCTGGGACTACAGGCGCCCGCCACCTCGCCCGGCTAGTTTTTGGTATTTTTTAGTAGAGACTGGGTTTCACCGTGTTTTTGATGGAGACATGGTAGGAAGTCTGCTCTGGAAATGAGGTGAAAAAGCAAAGTAATTAGTTTTTGTTTATACAAAATAAAACCTTTTAAAAAACCTTGTTATCATAAAAAGAGCTCTACAAATATAGATGGTTGTTTTGAAGAAGAGAAGAGAATTGTGGAACACATGTATAATTGGGAGGGGTGGGCACAGTAGCTTATGCCTGTAATCCCAGCACTTTCGGAGGCTGAGGCAGGCAGATCACCTGAGGTCAGGAGTTTGAGACCAGCCTGGCCAACATAATAGAAGTCTGTCTCTACTTAAAATACAAAATATTAGCTGGGTGTGGTAACACACGTCTGTGGTCCCAGGTACTTTGGAGTCTGAGGCACGAGAATCGCTTGAACCCAGGAGGTGGAGGTTGCAGTTAGCTGAGATTGTGCCACTGCACTCCAGCCCTGGTGACAGAGCAAGATTCCATGGCAAAGAAAAGCAACAACGACAACAAAAACAAGCATAATTGGGAAAAAACTGAAAGAGAACACAGGATCATAAAAATATAGCAAACAAAGTGAGTGGGATTTAAAATTAGTGGAATAAGAAATGACGGGTAACAATGAAGAACATAATTTAGGTAATATAGTATCTTGGGACTCCTCCTGGAAGTATCTAGTTATGGACAGTGAGCAGCAGAAACAGGATGTAACTCAATTCAGCATGCCTGATGGTTGTGGTAACCCTAGAAAATGACTCCAGGAAATAGGTGATAATCCAATCAGATTGAGAAGCTAATGTGCATGACAGGGGTGCCCTAGCAGAAAGGCGAAGCTGAATAGAAATTCAGGAGGAGAGGAATTTTGGCTATTTAGTAAAATTATGAGCAGTTGGTCACAGGCAAATTTTATGAGTAGGTAGCCCTTCTGAAGTCTTAGGCATATAATTAACCTAGGTTGGAATTAAAATTTGACATCAAAGCTTAAACTTTTTTATCTGAACTGAGATGCAAAAGTAAATTGGTCCTGCTTTTGGAGAATTGTAAAAGAATTCCTTAATCTCTTAGCAAAATTTGGAAGTCAGTATCAGGTGGTGAGGATAGGAAAGTTGAAGAGACTGTGGACCAGGCAAGACCTTATCAGTTGATTTAGGAAGCAGCAGTGACAGAGGCCAGACATGTAACAAGAGAAAAGAGAAGGTGGAAAGTAAGAGACAGTTTTAATTGCTACAATAGAAAGATGGGATTTTGAAAAGATTAGCTATACGGAATAAAATTAACCAAAAATTGATCCAGGATTATAAGAAACTATTTCGAGACTCATTAATTTTACTATTGCTGTCAAACACACATTAAATCGTTTTCTATTTGGGTCAGCTATAAGCATGAAGGTTCATTTGTGAAACGATTTCTGTGGAGTATTGTTCCATGATCTGACATGCTTCACAAACTGTGTTTGTATATCCAACTTAAAAATTGAATAGTCTATTGTAATTCTACCATCATGTTTGAAATTTTCTTACCTTAAACAAAAAACCTGATCATATTATATTACTCAAATATGGGTAAGACTAGATTTAACTTAATGTATACTAGTGTACAGTGTGAGACTGCATAAACAAACTTTAAAAAAAATTGGTTATACATATTTTGGTTTAACCTACAATGAACTTAAGAGAAATCCTTAACCCCATTAGAGATTTGGGAGAGAGACGTGGCAACTGCTAACTTATAAATATTTTGCTGAAGCTTAAATTTTACTAGCTTTCTTTCAATTCCTATTTTTACTCAAAAAATTATATAGTATTTAAATTTATAATTTGTATTCAGTTATTCTAGCTTACTGTTATGTGGTATGGCTTGACAGAAAGAACATTCTCTTTTACTCTTCTGCAAAACAGAAAAATATCCACTAAACACAAAAATATACAAGTGTTAAAGTAGCCGTCTAAACTTTATGAAGACTTTTAATTCCTCAGATAGTACTTCAGAGCAACTGGATTTAATATCTTTCATCCAGCAGAGGGCTACCAACCTCCATTAGTTTCTGTGAACACACATGGCAAAAAATTCACATGGGTTATTTCAGTGGTTTTCAGGTTGTTTTAAGCAGCAGATCCTTTTCTTAAGATAGAGTTTTACAGTACGGAAGTGAGATACACTCTCGCTTTAATTGGAGAAGGGTCTCCAAGCTGCCTCTCCAGAAGGCCCAGAGAGGTGTGGAGGATAATTGAAACTCTCCACTCTGATTTACCCAAAAATACGCTTCTACATTTAAAGTCATCTCTTTTTGGGTTCAGTCATAATCCTTAATGCTGACACTGCATGGAAAATATATAAGCAGAATGATGCCCAAGTTACAGAAGTTCCTCTTCCTGGATTTTGTCTTCAATTATAACTGTAGTTCCTACCGTGTGGTTGTATGTATTGTTAGTTTGTTTTTGTTTTGTTTTGTTTGGGAAAGGTGACATTTCATCTCCAATCTAATGAGTAAGAAAGATGCTTATTCTAACAAATTTTCTTCACAATATTTCATAGGTGTGCCAAGCTGACAGATTGGTTGACTGTGTACTCTTATATTTTATTCCTGTAACTGGGCCAGTTTCTGCCCTTAACTAAAACTGGATCAATTATAGGAGTGAAATAAAAGTCCATCTCCTGCCTATTTATTACTCTGCTTTGGTAATAAATCTATTTTTAAAAGAACCTATTACAGAGACTTCCATTTGGAATTTGATGTCAAATGGTGATTGTTCTTTGTTGTGTTTTTCCATTCGAAACAAAGCTTTTGTGAGGCGTCCCTTTATTCTGATTAAAGCCTGGTCTAAATCTTTAACAATGAAGTCCATTAACTAAAATGACTATGAATAGCTATACTTCTATCAGGGATATTAAATACTTTCTCAAGCACACACGCTCACTGATTTTAAGACTCATTCCAAAGTGTTCCAAGTTGTGTGTTAGATTTTTTTGTTTTTTTTCTTGAGAAGAAGTTTTGCTCTGTCGCCCAGGTTGGAGTGCAGTAGTGTGATATCGGCTCACTGCAACCTCAGTCTCCCAGGTTTAAACGATTCTCCTGCCTCAGCCCCCCAAGTAGCTGGGATTACAGGCACACGCCACCACGCCCAGCTAATTTTTGTATTTTTAGTAGAGACCGAGTTTTACCATGTTGGCCACGCTGGTCTTGAACTCCTGACCTCAGGTGATCCACCCACTTTGGCCTCCCAAAGTGCTGGGATTACTGGCATGAGCCACTGCACCCAGCCAGTGTTGGTTTTATCATTACCAAATAGTCATAAAAAGTGTGAGCTTATTAACGATGCTGACCATTCAAAGTGATCAGCAATCTCTTTGCACACACACTATCTTTGGGGGTGATTCTATCTTATTTCCAGTCCATCCATCGTGTTTCGGTCTTGTAAGTCTACTTTATTCTCTTACACTTTTATATTCATGTTTTGTTTTGTTTCAGAACAATAATCATAGCAGTTACCATTTATTGATCTCTTACCAGATGTTTTACATGTGCTATTTCCCTTGGTTCTGTTAGGTAGATATTGTCTTCATTCATGTGAAATGAGATTGAAGCCCCTAATGGTGAAGTAATGCACCCAACATAGAACCCAAATTAGGATTCAAAAACCCAAATTTGAGGCCCTTTACCACGCAAAGAAGCTTTATTTCATGGCAGTAGCAAAACCATTATTTGATTAGTTAATAAAAAAGATGGTTAAAGTGGAGAAAAAACTGACATATGCATAGTTTAAACATTTTATTTCAACTTGAAACATGTAAGTTGGACATTCTTTTACCAATGATCTGATGTCAAGAACTTTTATTTAATTATATTTTATTTAACAAGTTTCCAGAATTTGGAGTTTAGCTTTGTCTTTTTAAAAAATAAACAATACCTATTTGTAGGCGTTGTCTCACCTATATTCTCTGGTTTATTATCTGTTAAATGCAGTCAGTAATTAAAGACACTTGCAAAACAATTTGATTGTAGAACTTCTAAATATTTTTGAAGCTTCCTCCCCAATCTTTTTGATTTATTTCAGTCACACCCATAATTCAATAGCAATATTGTAGAAATTCCTCTTTATCAAGTTCTTACAAAGCATTCATCTTAATTTTTGTAAAGCAACAATTTTTGGAACTCATTTTTATTAGATAATATATGATTTATTTAAATTATGTAATTGCAATAGCAAGTACAATAGGATCAAAAGGTTTGGGATAAACATACTTGACTCTTGCTGAGCATATAACTTTACTAGTGGAAGAAGAATGTACACATATTATAGAATGGCTAGTAAGCTACAAGCTTTTAGTGTATGGTGGGCATCAGTCAGCATTTATAGAGAAAAATGGAAACATTTTCTTAAGTAAAGGTTTGCTGAGACAGCTTCTACTCTGTTTTTCAAGACATTAGGGGAGAGAGAGAATTTACTCCTTTCTGTGAAGACATGGAACTGAAGCTATGTGTATCACAGGACTTGAAACAGAAAAAGAAAAAACACTCTACAGATGTTTTTATTTTACAAAGTTAGTTGGGTTAAACATTGCCCAAAGTTTCTACCTGAACCATCAAGTTTGGTTTTCATAAAAAAGCTTTTAATTTGTGAGAAAAATGTTATTTGAGTTCTTTCAATTACATCTTATTTATCAGATTTTGGTGATGCTTTTGAATTCTCAAATGTTTCAAATTGCAATTCTCTGTTAAGATTTATTACATCATTATCAAAACTTTGTATTAAGCAAAGAGTATAACTTTCTGAAGTCCTGTAGTACATATTGTTTCTGCCATTCATTTGATGCTTATATTTCTCATTTGCTAACATTTATAATCATCTGTTCTTATGCAAAGTAGTATGTTTTGGTGGAGAGGTAGTGGAAAAAAACAAAAAACACCCATGAAATAAATCTGTACTCAAAGAATTCAGTTTGCTTAACTTCCCAACTAAGTGATACTACTTTAGGGAACCATAACTGCTTCCCTTACTCCATCTCTTTCGTTTCACAGTGCCTTGTTCACAGCTCAGTTATTTGAAGTCTTTCTAGACCTGTTTCTCTTTTTTGTTGTTTCTGCTGTACACCTGGTTGTCTTTGACATTTACTTCTGCCAGGCTTTGTGGTCACAAGTGACTTGTGGAGCATTTTAAACCAACTTCGAAGCTTGAGTTTTGTTGTAAGTCTCAGCGATAAAACCCAGGTTATAAATCTGCTGAAGGGCTGGTTATTTATTATTCTGCTCTTACCCTTAGAGTATTGCTTTTTGAGATCTCAGATGACTGTGAAGAGGGCTCCCTATTAGACTGTGCACCTTGTGTAGACATTGACCTTTGATATCTGTCCTCTTGCCTAGGAAGTTTTCAAAATAAAAGCTCAAGTTTGCAGGGAAATGCACTCAGGAAACAAAAGCAATTTCCCTGCTTGCTTATCTTTCTGTGGTTCCATTTTCCTTCAGTTTTGCCTGGCAGTTCCTTATTATCATCCCAGCTATTTGTTGCTTTTAAGAAGTTATTTATATTTTATCCAGTATTTCTAGTTTGTTTCAGCAGTAGTGTTTGTCTGAATGCCTGGCTCCTATGAGCTGGAAACACATGCTGTTCATACAGGTGCTTAGTGTTTTGATTGTTGATCTGATTTAGAAGTGATACAAAGACCATGTCACACAAAAAAGCTCAAACATGCTTTACCACTGAAAATGTGGTTTCTAAAGAAGATTTTATTTAATTTTATACTTTGGTTTCCATATTTATGGAATATGAGTTTGCATGAGTGGGTATAAAATGAAAAGTGCTGGTTATGCTGTATTAGTCTATTCTCATGCTGCTAATAAATATATACCAGAGACTGGGTAATTTATAAAGGAAAGGGAGATTTAATGGACTCACAGTTCCACATAGCTAGGGAGGCTTCACAATCATGGTGGAAGGTGAAGGAGGAGCAAAGGCACGTCTTACCTGGCGGCAGGCAAGAGAGTGTGTGCAGGGGAACTGCCCTTTATAAAACCATGAGATCTTGTGAGACTTATTCACTGTCATGAGAACAGCGTGGGAGAAACCTGCCCCCATGATTCGATTACCTCCCACTGGGTCCCTTCCATGACACATGGGGATATGGGAGCTACAATTCAATATGAGATTTGGGTGGGGACACAGTCAAACCATATCACATGCCTAAAGCAAGAAACAAGGAATGCCTAGCAACAGATTTTATTTGCAGGTTAATTAAACAACAGGTGCAAGCATATCTTATGTCTGTTGGTAAAGAAATGAAAATGGATCATAGAAGCTCTTTCAGAGGGGAAAAAAAAGAGTTAAATATGACAGCATCCAGAAGCAGTAATAATCCAGATGTTTACAACTTCATAAAAATTGCCAAGTACCCATGGATACAATAGTCATTTTCTCCAGGTGAAAAATGACCAGATGGTAGCACTTCAATTTTCTGGTGCCAACAATGCAGCTGCAGGTGGATTGTTTTTTGAGTGGTTGTGTTATTGAAACATGTTTTTACAAGTATTTTATATTTATTGTAGTGTCTGCTGCACAGGACTTTACTGGCCATAGAACTGGTTGTTGGAATTGCTGAAAGTGTTTAGGTTTGTGTTTTAACAATAAGGGCTTTGGGTTGGGAAACTGGAGACCTGACACATCATTGATTGAATGTTTCATCTACATTTGATTTGGATATGCTCTAAGATTACGTTTTGCCATTTTTCTATTGTTAATTTTGAAAAATAAGAAAATATTTTTGCTAATTATTTACTGGCCAACCATACTGAATTAGAAGGCTATAATTCATGATCTATAAAAAGTATAGAATAATAGCCAAGTCATTTAAAATTACATTTACAGGCTTTTAAGCATTACTAATTTATATGTAAATACAAAATTATTTTGTGAAAATTTAAGATACACATGACTTAGAGTCACATAAAGAATAGCAATTAAAAATAGCTTTGTCCCAATCAAGAAAAATCAATCTTTTTCTTTTGCAAATAGTCAAATTAAAATGTTCTATCAAACAGTTTATCCAAATGGTGCATCTAAGTGACATTGTATAAATGTAAAACTTTCAGGTATTGATCAAAGTTACCAATAAATTTGTTTCCCTTGAGATGCTAAAGCTGTTAACATATAATTTCTAAGTAAAAATGTAATTCCTAAAGAAAACAACAAATTTCTTCATGGATAAAGGCACGACACAAATAAGCACACAAAAACATCCTCAGTGACATTGAGGGTTAACAGGCTTGAGATTGAATTTTCACATTTTAACTACAATTCAGTGCTTTTCATTTGAACAAAATAAAAGGGCTAAGAAATATACCCAGAGCTTTTATAAAAAGCTGTTACAAACCAAAAGGGGAAGTTATATGTGTTTTAAAACACAACAATAAGTAGAGCTAGATATTAACTGTAATGTTTCAATCCTTTAATAGACTATGAGGATTTCTTATCCAAAATCAGTATATTTTTTGGGAAAAAACCTTGTGAGCAATAGAATAAAACATCATTTATGAGAAGAAAGCAGCCCTGAGAAGACATTTGAAGATATTAGTTTGAAACTTGGGCTAAGCGTTTGAAGATTTTGAAGTAGCTTTCTAGCCAGATCTGAATATTAGTAATTGCAGTCACTGTAGATTATACA